ACCTTTTTCAAGCCAGTCCTTTAGTTGTTCCTTCAACTCTTTCAACTATGTGAGGGCCAATTTATAAGGAGGAATAAATATTGGATGAGTATCTGGTAGTAAGTCAATGGCAAACTCAATTTCTTGCTCTGGCGGAGACCCAGAAGCTCATCGGAAAAAACGTCGAGAAACTCATTAACCACAAGGATGGGCTGAATGGTCGGTGACTCTACCTCCATATCCTAAAACCGAACTAAGTGATAAATACAACCCTTACTGATCATATTCCTTGCCTTGAGATAGGAAATAAATCTACCTCTCGGCGACGTCGTATTACCTTTCCACTCCAAAACAGGCTCCCCTAGAGATTGAAATCGGACTATCTTTGCTCTACAATCATTGGCATGACAAAAAGCCAACTAATCCATACCCAGTATAACATCAAATTCTACCATATCTAACTCGATTATGTTTGCTACGGTAGATCGACCATGAACTACTATTATACAACCCCTATAGACTCCCTTAGCTATTACTAAGTCCCCAACAAGTGTAGACACCTCAAAAGGTTTAACCAATTCAGATTTTTTCCAAACTTACTAGCAACCAGCAGAGTAACATATGATAAGGTGGAACCTGGGTCAATCAGTACATATGCATCATACGAGGAGACTGATAATATACCTGTAACAACATCAGGCGATGACTCCTGATCCTGTCGCCTTGCCAATGCATAAAGGCGGTTCTGAGGACTGCTTGAGCTAGATGCTCCGCCTATGCCTCTACTACGACTCATTGGTGCTTGTGGACCTTGCCCGGGGGCGTACTGATGATGACAAACCAACTACAGATCCCGCTTGCTGAGCAATACTTGCATCACCTCTCATCGGACAATACCTCATAACGTGGCCTGGATAACCACATGTATAACAAATACCTAATCCCATATGGTACTGCCCGGTATGCTGCTTACCACATTGAGCACATTGTGGCAAGGGCGGCCTCATCTGACTCGACTCACTCTTATACTGAGAACCTGAGGCCCAGAAATTTTGACCAGACCCTGAATATGTGCAATGATCAAATCTCTTACCACCAAACTGAGAGGGCGCGCTAGCCGATGGCTGGGCTAGATACCTACAGTACTATTGCCTCTAACCACCTTGAAACTCACCAGGAGGACCCGAAGACCTCGCTCTCTTATTCTGGGCCCTATCATGCTCAAGATCCATCCTTTGCTTCTGCTTACGCTCCTTTACACCCTGAGTGTATACCTGAATACGAGAAATATCCACGTCCGGCTGAAACGAGACCGACATACAATTGTTAAGCAAGTGCAACTCTAATACCATCACGAACCGGTGAACTCGATCCTCCATCTTAAATACAATAGTGGGAGCATACCTAGCCAATGAATCAAACTGAAGACTATACTCTCAAACACTCATGTTACCCTGCCGAAGGGTCAAGAACCTACAACTCTGGCTCGTCTAAGCTCTGGTGGCAGATAATGACGAAGAAAAGCTTTTGTAAACTTCTGCTATACTTCTGTAGGTGCATCATCACCTCTGGACAATTCCCAAGACTCGTACCAATTAACTGCAACATCTCGGAGTCTATAGGAAGCTGGCTCAATTGACTCGATCGTAGTGGCCTTTATTACCCTTAACATCCTCTGCATTCTATCAATAAATACCCGAGGGTCCTCGTTTGGATATGCCCCAATGAATACCGGAGGGTCTAAATTAATGAAGTCACGAACCCTCGCACTGACGGACCTATCTGCATGACTAATACCTACTTCCTGACGCCGAGCCTGTGCGACTACTAATCGGGTTAATAGCTGAATAACATCTCTTATCTCCTGACCCGGTGCATCTGAATGAGGAGCTGGACGTACAGGGGTGGGCGCAGGAGCTGGTGCCCCTCAGAACTCTTCTAAAAAGGGCGGGGTATGTGAAGTCTGAGATGGAATCTCACTATGAGACTCTCCCCAAGCCCTGATAACTCGTGGCGCTTGACTAGTAGTCTCACCAGCCACGGACTTTCCCTTCTGGGCAGCTGCAGTCTTTGGAGGCATCGCTGAAAATATAACATATCGTTAGGAACATGAATTCTTATATTGCACGATCTAAGATAAGAAGAGAGGATAACATCCTATATGTCCTATAGCCTATTGTCTATAAGTATGGTGCACAACACACCCGTAAACAAGACTCTATTAGACACGATGTATAGACAACCCTAGGATAGAACTGCTCTGATACCACTATTGTCACGACCTAAATCGATGGGCCACGATGAGTGCCCGAGTCCTACCTGTCGAACACCCTTAAACATGCGACTAAGATATAAACATGAATAATATCTGCTGAATTACGAGAATAACATGCGTGAGAAAAACCTGTCCAAAAGACATATATACATTTACGTGCGGATTACAATGGGCGAGCCGACAAGACCACGACAGATAACTATACACCCAAAACTGAAAGCCGACAAGGCCACATACTATCCAACTAGACATAACTGTCTATAGACCTCTAATAGAAAAACAATTGTACAAAGACGAGACTGAGCTACGTCATACCCACATATATATATATATATATATATACACACACACACACACACACACACATACACACATACACACAAGCATATAATACCAAAATTAAAAGCAGCTCTAGATCAAGTGGAGCACGCCAACTCTCGCTGATCAAGGATCTTAAGAAGGGGGACCATCAACTTTTCTATATGCACCTGTTGGCATGAAACGCAGGCCCTGTGAAATAGGGCGTTAGTATGAAAAATATACTGAGTATGTAAGGCATGAAAATCAATACCTAAAAGACATATATGAAACATGGAATAAAGAAATTCATCTGTAAATCTGAATAACTTTGTAAATTCTGAATCATTTACAATGTCATGCACGTGCATGTAAATGTCGTGTTATCCATAGGTATGGGTGTACATAATATCATCTAGCCTCTGAGGGCATCTCATTATATCGTCTCGGCTATTGTGGGCAACATCATCAACATATACCAACTGATCAGGTGGTAGTGCGTATATAACGCCGTAACCTTTTTCCCATATCCCATATACATATAAATACGCGTATATAACGTCGTCTGGTCATAGGTCAATGCGCATGCATAAATGAATAAAATGCATGAAAATATGTTAAAAATCTCAATATTCTTTTCGGATAAACTTTATCAACTGCGTATTATTTGAGACCCATGAACAGAAGATATAATATCATGTAACATGGGGAATCAAGAACAAAGAGACCCCTAGTATTTCTATGAATAGAGTCGTTTATGAAAACTGTGTCTTTACTTATTTCTTCTGTATAATTTGGATCATGCCAAAGAGAAAGAAAGAATAGCCTTAACATACCCGAAATAGGGAAAAATCCATATGATGTTCTTGAAAAAAGTTGCACCATACTTCTTTAGAACCGCAAAATTTTTCCATTGCTAAAACTCTAAAATTCTCGTTAGAATTTGTTGGAATTATAAAAGTCACATTGAGTAAAGTATAAAACTTGATCTTTAATGTGTTTTTGATAGAAAGTTTGAAAGAGTCATGAATGGCTAACGTTCTTTCACAAGTCTTTCAATGCAAAGTCTTGAAAAATGAAAGGAATTTGAAAGACTTTTATATCCAGAGTCTTGAAAATGAAAGGAATTTGTATCCTTGTGACACCTAATCAAGGAATGACTCTTAGTCATTTCTTGATAATGTGGCTAGCTGCCACGTGGGGTGAGAGTGCGATATTTAATTTTTATCCATATTAGGTAAGATTCTGTTATCCGATAATTAATTATTACCCGCAAAATTAAGAATTATATCAGATTACTTAAAATTCTACTTATTTTTAATATACTTTATACATTATACTATCGTGGTCATATGATACCTTGTATGATACTAGTCCATAATTATCGGGTTTTATCGTTCGACCCGTATTTTATCCCAAATTAACCACTTTCAACGAAACTCATTTTCTTTAATTCGTGTACCCTCTATCCTTCATGACACTTACTTATCGCTTGTTATAAATAGCATAACTACGTTAACCTTAAAATAATCTTATCCGCGAGTCTATATCAATTAACTAAAGACGAAATTTTAACGTACGAAAACACGAGAGGTAACATAAATCTATTAGAAAAGGAGGCGTGAGAATGGGTATAATTGTGAATTCGGGCCAATCTATGATGATCCACATTTACTCCAAAATAATGCCTTTAAGCGGTCGTTTTAAAGATGGAATGAATGTGTTAGCACAATGATACACAAAGAAAGGTCCATTATATTAACCACCTGATTAATGTCCACTTCAACGGGATACTAATAGACTAATACTTCTTTTTTCTGATTACCATTCAATATTGAGTATCTGTTTTGGGGATCGATTAATCCTAATTTGCATCAAAAAATTTCACTTTAGAATAAAGTATTTTTTACCAAAGACTATTTTATTCCTAGAACTCAGAAATTTCTGATTATGAATGAAGGAGTACTTACTATTCTGCCATAGTTTTTGGCGGTGATACCGCTACTTCTGGGAATTTAGATTTGGCACGAAGTACGTAAAAATGCCGTTCGAGTTTGGAAGTGATTATTGATTATTACTTTGTAATGTGTGTCGATCTTTGCTGAATTACCGAACTGTATGGGCCTAAGATGAAAAATAATGAATGCAATTCCTCCCTCCATGCCGATCATACTACATGGTATACCGTACGAGTAACAACAATAACAATAACAGCCTAGTATAATTATATTAGTGAAGTTTGAGGAGACTAATGTGTATGCAGATCTTATCCCTATTCCGAAGGACAAAGAGCATGTTTCTCAATTCAAAAAAGATAAAAGAGCAACACACAAAGTCACAACTTGAGAAGTAACCATTTTCAGTAGAATCCAAATCTTCCATTTGAGCAAAAGTACCCCGTAAAAATTGAAAGTGGAATATAAAAGGAAAGTGAAAAAAGATGCCAAAACCCTCACAATATCTTTCCTTTTCTGATTTCTCCCTACCTCAGTGCCTCCCTATCTTTCTATTTTTTTCGCGCTGTTTCTTCACTGTATCAACTTTTCCTTTCTTTATTCCTCTGGACCTCAAAAATCCAATAGAAAACGAAAATGAAAAACAAAAAGGTAACATCTTTGAAACCTCAAAATCAATCAAACACTCACAATTTCCACTAACTTCCCACTACTCATCACCAATGGATCGTCTTCTCATCACCCCCATCTTTCTCTTTCTTCTTCTCATCACTTTCTCTCTCTTATCAGGTAATCAATAATCACTAATCAGTTTCCTTCTAATTCCTGTTAATCTTAATCTTTATTTTTGGTTCTTGATTATAAAAAATTTAACTTTTTTTACAGAGGTGCAGTCAACTACTTTCAAGATAGTCAACAAGTGCCGTCACACAGTATGGCCCGGAGTATTAACCGGAGCTGACAGAGCACCCGTTAACCCAACCGGGTTTACTCTCAAGAGTGGCAAATCTAAGACTCTCAAAATGCCCAGGTCTTGGTCGGGTCGGGTTTGGGGTCGGACCCTCTGCTCGAACGACCCCTCAAACGGTGGTAAATTTACTTGCGTCACTGGAGATTGCGGCTCCGGGAAGGTGGAGTGCGCCGGAGGCGGCGCTATACCGCCGGCGACTTTAGCTGAGTTTACACTTAACGGTGACCAGGGTTTGGATTTTTATGACGTCAGTCTTGTGGATGGGTACAACCTTCCTATGCTTATAGTTGCTAAAGGAGGTACAAGAGGGGGATGCAGTGCTACGGGATGTTTAGTGGACTTGAACGGCGCGTGTCCTAGAGATTTGAGGGTTGCGAGTGGGAAAGGGAGTCACAGTGAGAGCGTTGGTTGTAAGAGCGCGTGTTTGGCGTTTAATGATCCAATATACTGTTGTAGCGAAGCGCACAATACGCCTGACACGTGTCAGCCTTCGATCTACTCGCTTTTCTTCAAACACGCGTGCCCACGCTCTTACAGTTATGCTTATGACGACAAGACTAGTACCTTCACTTGTGCCTCTGCTGATTACTTGATCATCTTCTGCCCTCTCCCTTATACCAGGTGAATTTACTTTTACGCCCTTCCTATTTTGATTCCTAGTTATTGGAAGATTTTTGCTAGTTATGTGATTTTTATAGGTACTAGTTATATATAAATGGTGGGTTAAGTTGATATTCAGCATAATACTCTCTGTGTTACATCTTTCTATAGTTGAAAATCTATGTACAAAAATTTATTCAAATTCAAAAAATAGTAGATATGAACCCATAACTTTAAAAATATAATGGGTTTAATGCTAAAAATCTTAGTAGTTGAACCCATAGAGTTTGAATCCTGGATCCGACTCTGGTCGCCAAAATAATGTCATGGCATGTTTAAGTATATGTCAAAAGTGTTTCTTTCGTTCTTAAACTCCCTCTCAGTCAAACAATGCCATATAAAATGAATCGGAGGGAATAATAGTTAAATTATGATAGAAAGCTTTAGTTGGCAAAGTCTGCCTAAGCACGTGCTAAATCGGCCTCAGTGTGGTATTAAATGAGTAACGAGTTCCATTTATGTAACTCAATAAAATGGAACAGGTGTAGAGAATATATATAGCCGACTTCAACTAATGTAGAATTAAGGCATAGTGGATTGATTGATTGACTAAAATGATCTAAAGTATGGATATTCAAATGAAATTTCTAGGGGCAGCCTGATGCACTAAGCTCCCACTATGCGCGGGGTCCAGGAAGGGCCGGACCACACGGGTCTATTGTACGCAGCCTTACCCTGCATTTTTGCAAGAGGTTGTTTCCATTGCTTGAACCCGTGACCTTCTGGTCACATGACAACAATTTTACCAGTTACGCCAAGGTTCCCCTTTTTAAATGAAATTTCTATTGAGTACTAATAAGTTCTACGGGGGTCCATATTCATAGTTTATCGAGCATCTGATACTGGAGTTTATGACGTGAGACATTTATTGACTTCCAATCTATGCTGATAGTTGTACCTCATATGCCGCTAACTAATTGTCAATATAACTTAAAAATGATATTCTTCATCAAAGACTAAAGGTAGTTGCTGAGCATGCTATGAAGACTCTTTGAAGCACATCAAGAGGAATGGCTGAATATTTTGTAGTTGTTACCAGGCAGGAAAGTTAGATTCCCAGCCTAGTGGTATCTCCAGGAGCTAAATTCTCTAGCCTTGTGGCACCTAATCAGGAATTGTTCATTCAACACATTCCCAAGCCTATAAATATCTAGTCCGGAATAGTCGTAAAGTCTTGAAAGTTCTGCTTGCGCTTAGGTATTTGTTATCAAAAAAAAAAAAAAATTGTCCTTCATAGGATTGGAGCATATGCATTTATGAAGGAATATACACTTGATATAAAGGAGAGATTCGAGGAGTGGATGCAAATCTGGAGATTAAGGAAGGGAAAGAGGAAGTGGCTTGAGAGTGACTATTAACAAGAGTAAAGTGGGAATATTTCAATTTAATATAATTTTTATATTTCTTTAAAGCCCACACCTGCATGCTTGGAGTTAGTCAGGGTTGCTAACTCCGTCTCAATGTCACACTTATTTATTTATTTATAAGATAAGTAAATATTATTAAGGCAAGTACCAACATGGTACTGTAAAAACAAATTTAAAACAGTACAGAAATCACCATATAGCAATTAAGTACACTCATCTCAATGAATCTAAGAAGTCTAAAACATCAGAGAAGTCTTCTACTGTCCTCTCCTTACACCTTTGAAACAGATTTTATAAACAATTATACTTGACAACTGCTATTTGCTTCCTCTATCCATCAAAACACCTCCTATTCCTTTCCCACCATATACTCCATAAGATGCATAAAGGAGCGGTTCTCCAAATTTTCTTTCTGTTTCCTGCAATCTTTTGTGCTTGCCAGCTTGACAGTAAACTTTGCACATCTCTAGGCGTCACTCAGTGCACGCCAAATAAACATAAAACGACAGCCCCGATCTTTGATGGTGGTTTAGTCTTCCATATTATCTTCCAGGGCCATGCCTCCTTCCAAATATTCAAATTTTCCTTAAACACATATAGCAGCTACGTACTGTGAAGATTCCTTCATTGTTTGCCAGCCACACCTGTGAATCATTCTTCGAACTATCCAGTTTGAGGGGTTCTAAAATAGCTAACAACTGACTGATCTCATCTATTTCCCAATCATTAAAATCCCTTCTAAACTGCATATTTCAACCAGCTTCAGAGTAACACTCTGAAACCACACAATCTTTGCGCACAGAGAGGTTATATAAAATAGGAAACCTATCTCCTAGTCTCTCATAACCTATACCTTTATCTACCCCGAATCTTATCCTTGCACCATTCCCTACCTTCAGCTTGACATTTGTATGAAAATCCCTCCTTAACTTACTGATGTTTTTCCAAATTGTCACTTTATTTGCTGGTAAAGTAGGATTTGGATTCCAGCAGTCCACTTTGCCAAATTTAGTGTTGATAATCTCCTTCCATAGCGCAAATTTATCCTTGTTGTATCTCCAAAGCCATTATACATCAGGCTTTTATTATGCAACCTGAGATTCTTCTCTCCCATTCCTCCTCCCTTTCTGGATACCATCACGTCTTGCCATCTAGCTAAATGAAATTACGTTTTTTCCTGAATTTTCTTCCCATAAAAAGCTGCTCCTCAATCTTTTAATTTTCCTCTCTACACTTACTGGAATGGGAATGAGGGAAATTAAGTAAGTAGGCATGCCATCAAGAACAGTACTCACAAGTGTAAGCCTGCCCCCAAAAGATAAATATTGCTTCTTCCAGAGAGAATTTTTTCTCACACCTATCCAACACTCTAGTCCTTGCCACATTGCTTGATCCCTCTGCTTGGCCCCTTGAGGAGGATCGAGATATACTGCAGGAAACCTATCAATGTGGCATCCCAAAATTCCAGCTACTTCTTCATTCCAGTCACTTTTTCGATATATTCACAGCATAAACATTACTCTTTGACAGATTAACTTTCAGTTTTGAGATAGCTTCAAAAGCTAGTAAAATTACCCTCAAATGCAAAATTTGATCTCTAACAGCCTCACACACCACTAGTCTGTCTTCTTTTTTCAACCCCTTGTGTACATGGTTTTGATAAGGCAGTTTGTCATTTTGCTCATGAGAGCTCTGCAATCATTTATCTTGCTTGCAGTTGGCTGCCAAGCCCAGTCCCCTCTGGCAACTAGTGAACAATGGACAGGGATTGTCTGAGCCCACAGATCATCCATCGCTGTATAGCATTCCGCTAGCTTGTCACTGAATTCTTCTGATAAAAAATAAAAACTTGTCACCGATTCTCATAATCTGTGACCGATTCATATATCTCATAATTTGTGACCCATTCGATGAAGCGGCTTACCCATTTAAAGACCATATTGGTGGATATGAGGGTTTATTGGAACGTTGCGGGGTTCAGGTTATAGTACAGAACACTTTTCTTTCCAGAACTGGTAAATCGAGCCAGTTCTCCTGCACTGTCAATGTCGCAGAGTACTTGTTCCCAAAACTTGCTTTTGGTGTTCGAAAACTTTAGGAGCCCTGACTCCTCATTCCTTATGATTCTCCTATTTCTTGCCCTTCTTCCGAACACAATTTCCCATGGAGTAACCACTTGTAACTTCCAAAGCCAACATTGGTCTTACTTCACCAACTTAATTTTGAGCTAAATACAATAACAACCTAGTAGAATCCCACGTAGAATCCCATTAGTGGGGTCTGGGGTTAATGTTGAGCTAAATGTCGAAAGAATTACATTCACATCCTTCTTGTTGCATGTCTTTGGCATATGGATTAGGAAAGATAATAAGTGCTAAAAATATAGGCTTTCTCATTAAGATCTAGAGCATGGGTTCTGTGTATTATCCTTGTGCATATTGATTAGTTTGAATTTTTCTGGTAAGACAGTTTTCAGGTAACTTAATTTTAGAGACATATCTAGGATGTCAAAGGACTACAATCAGATATTATCATTGGCTGCTCCTTGCTTTTCTCTTTCTCCTACGAAACCAAGATTCCTGTAATTTAGGAGAATTAACTAAAATCCTTTTATTGTCGCTGGTTAAGAAAAATGTATATGGTAAAACCTTGATCTCGTTTTTCTCTCAGCTTTCAGCTTTACAAATTATTGCTGCATTGGAACTCCGCAACTTAGGTTCCTTTTCCCAGTCTAAGAAGTTCTAGTAAACTGTGAGCATGTGTGCCTTGTATTTCTTTTGATCAGGTTTAAGTCGTGCAGCAAATGTACGCCCAAGGTGGTCCTTGCACTTTGCACAAAAAGAGTTTAGAAGAAGTTCCATTTGAATGCCCAGAAGAACTCGGATGATCTTGTAAACTCGGATTAATTAATACTTGTAGCAAAAATTAAACAGAACTGTGAACTCAAATTAATGGAAGGGTAAGCAATATCTGCCACGTCTATTGGGTCAATTGTAAGAAAAAACATACTTCCTCTGTCTCAGGAGTGCCAGAGTTCATGTACGAGAATCAAGGCACTAAATGGCGGTGTGAACTTGGACGTTGGTTATTTCTGAAATAAAATTTCTTTATGTACAAACTAAATAAAAAGTAATTACAACTTCTTATTGTTAAAAGTACGAAGAAAATGGGAATAATAATCAAAGCAAAATCTTATCCCCAAAAGAAAAAAAGCAGTAAGGTTAATTTTTACTTAGTTTAAGACATATCTATGACGATCGTGACATTTGAATAGTTTAAGGGTACTTAAAAGTAGTTGTTGGAAAGTTCTCTTCAAAATGATAAAGTTATCTGCTGAAAAATCAATATGATACATCAGGAAACACGTTACATCAAAAGTGTAAAACAGATTTAAAAAGCAAACCATTAGCTAACATTTTATACACGATCTTCAAGTTGAATAGTAAAAAGTATGATTTTGTTGAGACCCTTTGCATTAAGAGAGTTAAATGACATACCACAAGTTCAAATACCACAAGTTCAAATTTCAAAGTGTTGAGGGTTTACTAGATGCATCTACTGCCCGTAAGAACATGTTTATCCAATAGTATTGCCTAAAGCATAACATCTTAAATCTTCTTTTCGTTGCCATCTGTTGTCATCTATCCAACTTGCTTAAAGCAGCTTGCCATACCATTTACTAGAGCCATTCACCATTTCTTCCTGTATGGAGTAACTATATCTTTTGTCCATCTGGTGGTAACAGGATTGTTGGCTAGTTATATTTGGATATTATAGCATGGTGTTTTTCACTTGCAAATTAGCTTTTGTGGTTTAGTAACTTGAGCTTTCTTGTTTGAACGGGAACTGTACAGCATGAAAGTGCTAGGATTGAGGAAGGATCCAGCTGAGCTGCCACTGGTTAATAAAACAATGATGTACATTGGAAGGCATCATCGAAGTGGTGAGTCATCCATCCGACCATCTTTTATTGCACCATATGGTGTCAGCAATATTGCACTTGTGAATATTGTGACTGACCTTAATGGGCAACTTTCAGGCTAATTTACAAACAGAAGTTGAAGCTGGGGATTTTGTTTACGTACCCAAATGCTATCAATCTCTCTCATGTAAAATCATGTGCTACCTTGTTTCGGTGGGGAACTCGTCGGTAACAAATGACAATAATTGTGTATATGAGCTTGTAGCTTCTTATAAATCTGCAACTTTTTCATTTTTGCTTTACATTTTGCTCTCCATTGCTTTTGGTGCTTGGAAGGGTCCATAGTGTAATGTCATGGGCATGTCGAGCAATGAGGCAAAAAAGTCTTAAAATGTTTTTAGTTGGTTCAGAAAACAGATTTATGCCTCCCTTTCTATATTTTGTTTTGTTTTTTGGAGTTTGTAAAGGTAGTGGTAATGTGGTGGACAAATCAAAACATTTTTTGAACATGTTGAAGGTACATAATAGGATTGTTGAGCTGCTTAGAATAGAAATAGACATTTCGTACAGTTTTGGTTATTTGATTGGTTTTATACAATATTGGACTGTGATGAGAGCTTAAATGGAGTGAAGGTTCATATATATGGCCTATTAATGCAACATTGTTTTCTTCCTTTCATTACCTGTTTTTACTCTCAGCTGAGCTCAGAACTTCTTACATATTGTTGGTTCATATAAAAGCCAGCGTATTAACAGTAATAAGAATCAGTTTCTAAAAGAGGTGTTTGGAGACAAATTCTTAGTTTCTGAGACTGCAACATTTGGTTGCTTGATTACTTGTAGCTTTACTGGTAAACTATGTTTTAATGGTGACTGGTGATTTACTAATCTAGCCACTATTTAGCCCTATAATTAAGATATAGTCATTATCATGGAGTTTCATATTCAACATGGAATATTATAATAAAATGGTGTTAAGATGCTCGGATCATTGAATTGAAGACAAACTCAATTCGATTCCTAAGCCGATGGGCTTAGATCCAAAGCCTGCTTGCTTTGGAAAATTTGCATAGTATGGCCAATTTTGAAGCCATTTTTAAAAGGAAGAATGACATTGTATCCCCGTTGTAAAAATAATAGTCAAAAAATGTATAAATATTTGTATATTTTTTGTATATATATACATTTTGTATGCTATATACAAAAATTATACTTTTTCGACTACCAGATGTAAATAGTTTCTGGCGCGGGTTAAAAGTGATAATACTCCTTTTAAAATTATGTTCGTATTGGATGATTTTCTTTCTTTTTTTGCTGTTATATCTCGGTGAAATTCAAAAATAGCTATATTTACAAGTGGTAATTGAAAAATAGCCACAGTTTCAAAAGTAATCGAAATTTAGTCATTTTTCATGTAAAGATAAATTTGAACGAAAACACTGTTTAAAATCCGGAAAATATTCCAGCATAATATACTGGTCCAGCATAATATGCTGCAAGTTCATACACATGTGCTCCAATCTCCAGTATATTATGTTGTAACTTTCCATGTGTTGGAGTTCCAACATGGTGGAAGTTCATACATAGGTGCACCAATCTCCAGTATATTATGCTGGAACTTTCCGTGTTGTAGCAAAATAGTTACTATTTTTCAATGACTTTATAAACACTGACTATTTTTTAATTACCAGTTCGAAAACTGGCTAGCCCGTGCTATTTTCACGTTATATCTAGCGAACTCTAACGATAGAAATGACCTAAAAAATGGCCATTCATGTATTTCTCTAATTGAATGAAATGGGTTATGGATGGAGTGGGATATTGTTGATTCATAAGTATCGTTAAATTGTATAATTTAATTTAACTTATTCGGATTGGCGCAAAATTGATTGTTTTATCTAATCCACTTATGTCCGTTTTACCTATTTATTCGCTTAAGAAGTAAAATAAACGTTTAGTGGGCTATCAGAAATATGCCTTATATTTTTCCTTAATTTTTTTTTTTTGGTGGAGGTATTTTTCTAGATGTGTATCGCATGATGGAGATATTCTACATCTACAATAGATAGCAGTGGCGAAGGTACATAGAGCTAACTGACCACCCTTCGTCGAAAAATTACACTGTATATATAGGTAAAATATTAGATTTTAATGGTATATAACATATATTAAATAGTCTTTATCTGTAATTTTTTACTTATTTCAAGTTTGAACACTCTAAATGAAATTTCTGGCTTCGACATTGATAGATAGAAAAGAGGTATGGAAAACAATTGAGAAGTTCCCTTAAAAGAACGAAGAGAAATGCAATTAGCAGAGGAAGTTGACGGTGGGGGGCGAATGGGGAAAATAAAATTAATATTAAATGGTTAAATTATGTAAGTGATGTTTAGAAATGAGATAAAATTCACAAATAGCTATTTTCCAGTCATTATAATTGTTTAACCAAAAAATGAGATTTTGGTGAAAGCTTTAATTTAGAAGAACTCGGGTTACTGATAATCAAAAGAATATATGAGAAAGTAATTTGGCTAGCAATAAGATCATCAGAAGAAAAATAAGTAAATCGGTATATTCAGATAATATTTTGTGTGTGTACAATTGATCCATTTTCTCCCTTTTATAGCTACTTTGGAGATATGTATTTTGCCTTTGTCATAATAAGGCTATTATGGGCAATTTAAATGCTACGTTACATAATCATTGTATTTAATACAGATTCTCTAACGTTTTTAGTATTTAAGGCTCATTAAGTACTGTATCTGTACTCCCATGAACTGTCAGATTCATTCCCTTTGATTTTTGGACTTAAATAGGTACGGGCGATGAGTCTTTTGAATAACCGCTCGTGCCTCTTCCTTTGCCTTTGCTCGTATCTGTTGCAACTCGTGCCTCTTTGCCAATCATAACTCTTTGACCAGTCTACGTGTCATAACACGTCATCTTTATATCACTTTAATATGTAAACTCAATTTTTCCCAATACAGATAGTCCCCTCACTTGCCATTTATTCATCAATTGAATATTTGGGAAGTGAATTTCATTAAGGCGAGAATTTTTGTCACCCTTAATGCTATGACAGAATCAACGCTTTATTTGTTACTTCCATTTAATGTTCTTCACGCGTGGCACCCTTTTACTGGATCTGCAACTTTGCAGCGCTTTTTAGGATTTTTTCGCAGCTTCACTAATCACGAAGCGTCAGTTCTCATTATGACCTTTCCATCAGTGCACCTTTTCCTTTGACAGTTGTTTCGTAGCATAAATATAGTTTTCTTCTTTGTCTTTATCACATAAAGTTTTCAAAATATTCAGTTCTTGAATCTTTGTTTGTTTCTTCCTCGTACTATCATGTCTTCATCAAACCCTAACCCTAGAAAGGTCCCCATAGTTGATAACTGCCCTGATGTCCCCAATAGGAGCAGAAGAGAAGGTAGGCTTCGTAATTTAGGATCTTCATCCTTGCGTGGTTCTTCTCTTCCTTCGCCTAGTTTTGGCCCTTCTTCTAGAACTAGAGGTTCTCTTTCACACAGATCTTCTTCTAGAAGTAAGGAATCTTCTGAACCTCTAGTAGAGGAGATAGTTCCTGTGGAACTATCTTTTTATCATGACAGAGAGTCTCTTAGAAACCAAGTATCTGCTTTAGATCGTGCCGATATCTATCCCACTCAAATTACTGAAGGTTTAATTTCTATAGTTCGTAGAAACTACCATTGGAGTCATGATTTTCCTATTATCATTCCCAATCCGAATCAAAGAATTACTTCCTACTTAACCGAATTTTCCTTTGTTTATACATACCCTTTAACTTTAGGATTTAAACCAGCTATTGACCCTGTTATCCTTGAGTTCTGTCGCTTCTTTGATGTTTGCTTGGATCAAATTGGCCCAATAATATGGAGGGTTGTGGCCTGTTTGAAACATTTGACCAACACAGCCAGTGTGCCTTTTACTTTCCCACATCTGATCCACCTTTACTCCCCTAGACTCTTTCGCAATGGTGTTTTTACACTAGTAGTCAGGAGCAAAAGAGTTTTGGTGAGCCCTGAAGATGACAAAGACCGTGGCTGGTATGCCAGGTTTGTTGCTGCCCCCACTGTTGGTTTAGTGGGTGATGAGAACATTCCCTTCCCTGAGAAGTGGAATTTTGCACGTGAGTCTTCCGACTTTTTCGTACCTTTTTCTTCAAGTTTGTTGATTTATCTTCTAATTTTGCTTTTCTTTTTCAGCAACCATGAGAGTTATGGAAGATGTTCCCAATTTTCGTGATTGGGTAGAAAAGCTATTGAAGATTGCTCCAATCGATGGTAGATCTTAGAAGATTCTTTCCCAACGATTTGGTTGGAAAGTAAAAACTCATGGTAAGAGCTTTTATTTTATCTTACATATTTTTTTTTATTTCTCTGAACTAATTTCAATCCTTCTTTCTATCAGGATTTGCTATTCGAGGAGTTACTGCTGAGGCGGTCGCGTTTCTCGTATCTCTTTGGAAAGGGCCCAAAAAATAATCTTGAGTTCTTCATCGAAGAGAAAAGCCGTGGATGAACAAGATTCTGAAGAAGAGGAAGACGGGGGCTCTTTGGTAACAAGGCCACAAGCTCGAAGACGCATCATTTCTGATGATGAAGAAGAAGCATCCCCCTGGCCGTTTTATTCCCCTTACCGAGTCTGTTGAGGCACCGGTGGTGATTCTTGACGATGATGTTGCTCTCGCTGTTGCTCATGACTCTATTGAGAAGCTTTTTATCTGCGGGTTTGGTGGTGAAGGCTTAGGCCCAGTTTTGGATGAAGCACCTCTGGCTTCTTTTTCTATACCCGTGTCTATGACTCCTTCTTTGCCGATCTCGGCTGTTTCCATTCCTCCCCAGACTGTCTTTACTACTTCTACTGTCCCTCCTTCAACAAGTCCTCCCCCAATCATTCACCGTGCTAAAGTTGGCTCCTCAAGTAAGAGTGGTGCTATAAGGCAAGTGATCATTGAAGTCCCCGCTGAGGGAAATCTCTTAAGGAAATCGGGTCAAGCATATGTATGGCTAAAGCCCTTAATTGGACCAATTGAAAGAGCCAAGCTAGAAAGCCATAGCTCCTTGACTTTGATGAATGATATTGTGCACGTTTCTCTAAAGGTATTCCTCTTCTCTTTTTTCCTTTGATGTGCTTTAAATTTTTTCTATCTTTGAGATTCTCATTACCCTTCCTTTTCTTTTTTTTATAGGCCAATTTTATCGGCACGGAGATGATGAAAAGGGTTGCCCTCTCAGAGCAATTAGTGTGTGATTTTCAATTAAAGGCGTGCAATTGGAAGGAATAGTATGAAAGCCTTCAGATTGATGTTGAGTACTTAGAAGAAAGTAAGAGTACCTTGGAGCAGCAGGTGCGGGCCTTGACTTCAGCGTTGGCAGTTGAAAAGGTTTCCTCAAGTCAAGCGAATAAAGAAAAGGCTCGTCTTGAAACCTCTTTCTCCGAGCAGCTGTCCAAGGCAAATGAAGAGATTAGAGAGTTGAAGACTCTCTTGGGTGAGAAAGAGGCTTATGCTAGAGAGCTCGTGCAGAATTTGACTCAACCACAAGAAGACCTCCGAGCTTCTTCTGATAAGGTTTGTGCCTTGGAAAGTTCCTATGCCTCTCTTTAAGCTTCTTACACTTCTGCCTTAGCTAAAA